TATCCTCTCAATGATAGAAGTACACGTGTGTGTGTGTGTGTGTGTGTGAGACCGTTAGTGTGCTCAAGTGTATATATGACTGTGTATACAGTATAGTCGCCCATGAGTGTTGTTTAGTGTGCACATTGCACTGCTGCCATACAGCTAATCAGTGATTATTGAATGTATTTTTCTTCATTAGTTCCGTTTCCTCAGCTGATTTAAGTGTTGTCACGCTAACCAATGACTATCAGTTGTTATCACAGCCATAAATATGGTTAAATAGGCACCTCCCATGTCTTCCAGTACTGATAGATATGGTAAGTAGGTGACCTCTAGTAGCTGTAGTGATTTTGACAAAAGGAAAGGATGAAATGTGGTGATGTAGTATTAGACAGAGAGATGTTTAATTCCAGTGTGTAACTGTAGTATTCCCAATGAGCACTCAAGCTTCAGCCTTTTCCTAAACCTAACAAACTAGTTATTATTCTTACATGTAAACATGTTGCTTTTGTTTGTAAATGGAACCATGTAGTTGTAATTGTAGCCACATGGTTGTTGTGCAACACTTCATGTTTATTATTTTAACCATGACAACAAAAGTCTATGACATAATAACGACCTACTGAAGCTCCTAGTGGGTAGAGTAGGGACCACCAGAGGCATATGGTCTGATAACAAGTAATAACAGGGCATGGAGTGATAACATTCGAAGCAGATGGTTTTCCCTCAGTAATATGTGAAAAATTCCATACCATCTGTGCAAAACCTCAGATCGCAGTCATGATCAGTATTTATGTAGCCTATGTATGCATGGATTTAGGTCTGGTCACAATCGTGCACTTAAGACACTTATTTATAGTTCAAAGATGACAATAATTCTGGTCAAATATTTACAAAACTGAGGATTAACCCAATTAAATCTAGTCAAACACGTTACCTGCAACCCTCAGCCTTCGCCTAATACATGCAAATTGCTTCCATCTTCCTGCATTGGCACTACAATAGGAGTCTCACTTTTCAAAACACTTAGTTTCAAACAAATGAAAACATGTCATTCTTTGACCCTT